CTTCTTTCTTTTCTTCCTTCCTTCCTTCCTTTCTTTCTTTCTTTCTTTCTCTGTTTTTCTCTCTCTCTTTCTCTCTCTCTCTCTCCCCCCTCCCTCCTTCCCTCCCTCCCTCCCTTCCTTCTTTCCTTCCCTCCCTTTATATTGGGTGGTGGACCCAGGGAGAACTAATTTTCAAAGAAAATTTGGGGTGGAGTGAGGATCAGAGCATCCCGCAGGGTGGCTTTGTTAGACGCGCACTCTGCACAAGCTTTTTTTCTTTTTAGGCCCACCAGGGCTGTATGGAGATATGGTAACCTAACTATATTCACAGCTTTTCTGGTCTTAACAGTTCCACCACTTTGACTGGGTTTTTCTTCTCGTCTCCATTGACAGACAGAAATTGCCAAAGGAATTCCCATAGGGGCATCACCTCCATCATCTTCACTCAGAACCATCTGGAAGCATCTGGATAAAACCTAACAGGCTTTTCACACAGTCCACCACCCCGCCCTGAGGGACTAAAGACCAAGAGCCAAAGAGATGCGAACCAAGATAACAAGTAGACTACAAACTACCACCTAGATGACTGCACTGGGATTCACATGTGAACAGGGCAGCAGGGTGTGTGTGTGTGTGCGTGTTTGTGTAAGGGCAAAGAGAACAAGTCCCAAGAAAGGGTCCAGACCTCCTCTCACTGGAGCCCCCTGTGCCTTGTCTTGGCACATACACAGCCCTCCCAGCTGTGAACAGGGTCCTGTTTGGAAAGTAAACAGGCCTTGGCAATCCTGGCACCTCTGTGAGGTGACTTGAATATCCACGTGCACCACCTACGGTGCTACCTGAGTGATGAATGTCTCTGGGATGTGAGTGTCAGCTGAGTGTCAGTCTATTGGGAAATGCGCCCCTCCCAAGAGCCAGCGCCTAATTACATCTATAAAAGGTTCTGTGGCTGGACACTGCTCAGTCCACTACTTCCATTCCAGTTGGAAAACTGATTGAATCTTCCAGTGAAGCCAGGGTCTGGTAAGTCTCCAAGTGGAACAGCGAGGGAGGAGGTTGGGGAGAGGTGAAGGCAGAAGGGAGGAGAAGGCAGAACATAGCCAGCAGGCAGATGCAGAAGGAGAGCCCTGCAAAGTGCCTTCAGCTTCAAGTGAGCTAGCCCCTCCTGGTGTCAGTGAGGACATGGAGGCCAAAGAGGGGGTGGGCAGGTTGACTTTGTAAGGTTACCCAGCAAGTCTATAGCAGAGATGCGACTGGAACCCAGGTGTTTGGCCCCCTGGACGGGGATGTATTTCCACCCTCTGCATCACTCTCCTTTTCCTTCTGGTTGTGGGGAATGAGAGGCATAGGCAGGAAAGATGCTTCTGGCATTTGTGGAACGTTTACACCCAGGTGGCTGGGATAGATGGACACGTGTGATTGGGGTATTTTTCTAACTAAGGTTGTGTTTACTCAGTGTTAATAACTTGGCAAATACCACTTGAAGGTCTATGGCCACAGTGTAAGGGGGGAAGGGAAAAGAGCCAGGAGAAGATTTTGGACTGGATCATGCAGAAAAATTCACACAATATCCTCTTTCTGTTCCACTGTGGAGAACATGGGTGGTCCTTATTCTACTCAGAGAAAGTGGGAAAACCACGCATTCTTTGCATAGACGGCTTCCCGCTCTGTGCAGGTGTAACTCAGTGGGACTCACGCACTGGACCGCCCGCTTGGGGTTTGTTCCTTTGCGTCCCTTCTTTCTTGGTGTCTTTCCCCCTCTTCTTCCACCAGGCCAGGCTCACCTGCTCACAAAGCCAAATCCCCTAAGCCCGGGTTGGAAAGAAAAAGTGCTGGCGTGTGAAAGGCAGCTTCTCTTCCAGGTTCTCCGCGATGGCCTCTCAGCTGAGCTCGGCTTCTGCCAAAGGCATTTCCAAGGGGTCTTCGCAGGGCCCGGCTCCGTGCCCCAGCCCGGCGCCCGCCGCCTC